TCCTGCCTCTCTCTGCCTTCCTTTGCTAGATAACCAAAACCAGACCAAACCTACTGCTGTTGAGTTGATTCCAACTCACGGTGACCCCATGTGGTACAGAGTAGAACTGCTCCATAGGATTTTCTTGGCTACAGTCTTTGTTGCTGCAAGGCCAGCAATAGTGCTGCTGGGTGGGTTCAGACTACCAACCTTTAGGTTAGTAAGGAGCTCTGGTAGTGTAGTGCCTAAGGCACTTGACTGCTAACCAGAAGGCTGGTGGTTCAAACCCACCAGCCACTCCTCAGAAAGAAGGTTGGGCATTCCTACTTCCGTAGTGATACTGCCTCGGAAACCCAAGGAGGGGTCGCTATGAGTCGGGGCCGACTTGACAGCACATAACAACAACCCCCCCCCCAAAAAAAAACCCCACAAAACTTGCTCCATTTTATATATTTCTAAAGAATATAATAACAAAAAAGAATATGTTGTTTAGTTTTGTTTTGACCTTTATAAACATGGATTATATTGATTTTTTTTAATATATATAAATTTTTATTGTGATTTGGGTGGAAGTCCACAGAGCAAATTCATTTTCCACGTAGCAGCTCACACACACTTTGTCTCATGACATTGACTGCAATTTCCCACAGTGCGTCAGCTCCCTTCCCACCGCCTTCCCATAGTCACCTCATCCCTGTGTCCTTCCTTCATTCACTCCTACCCCCACGCTGTCTCCTTGTGCTACTAATATTCTCTGTATCGTTCCAGTTTTAGTATATGTGCTGCTGAAGCAAGCACTATATTCTGATTATCTCTTGCACATAATAGTTGGACACATTCACGTACTTAATGTTACATTTCTAAGATCTGTCCACATTGTGCTTAGCTACAGGACTTTCATTTCATTGTAATATAATATTTCATTATGTGACTAGATCACAATTCATTTATCTATACTTTTGTTGAAGAACTTTTGGGTGGTTTTCAAGTTTCTTGCTTATGGAAAAGAAGGTGGCTGTGGCACATTCTTGAGTATACTTTCTGTTGCACATATTTACAAGTTTTAAAGTTAAGAAAAAGTAGATACTTCAGGAACATGATGGGGTGTCCACCCTTACCACTTCTAGTCAGTATTGTATTAGAAGTCCCAGCCAGAACGATAAGGTAAACAAAAGAAATAAAAGGTATCCATATTGGGAAAGAAGAAGTAAAATTATCTCTATTCACCGATGATATGATCCTGTCTATAAAAATTCAAGAGTCCACAAGAAAATTCCTACACATAATAGAGGAATTTAGCAAAGTTGCAGGATACAAAGTCAACAAACAAAAATCAGTTGAGTTTCTTTACACCAACATTGAGAAATCTGAAAGGGAAATTAGGGAAAAAATTCCATTTACAATAGCATCGAAGAGAATAAAATACCTAGGAATAAATTTAACCAGGGATGTGAAAGTCTTATACAGTGGAAATTATAAAACACTGTTGAAAGATTAAAAAAGACTTAAATAAATGGAAAGATGTTCCATGTTCATCAATTAGAAGACTTAATATTGTTAAGAAGTCAGTACTGCCTGAAGCTGTCTATATTTTTAAAGTGATCACGATCAAAATTCCAACAGCTGCATTCAAAGAAATAAAAAACCAATCCTCAACTTTATATGGAATGGCAAGAGTGCCCGTATCTAAAATAATGTTGAAAGAGAATAAAATAGGAAGATGCACACTTCTGATTTTAAAACATAGTATAAAATTGCAGTAATCAAAACAACCTATAACAATAGTCACAATGGTATAACAGTAGTCACCTAGTTCAGTGAAATATAATTCAAAGCCCAGAAATAAACCCACACATCTATGATCAACTAATTTTAAACAAGGATGCTGAGTCCATTCAATGGAGAAAGAACAGTCTCTTAAATGAACAGTGCTGGAAAAATTGGAATTCCACATGGAGAAAAATTAAACAGGATCAGTGCCTCACTCCATACACAAAAACAACTTCAAAATGGATTAAGGACTGAATGTGTAAACTAAGACCATAAAATTCTCAGACAGACAGATGGTCAGCACTGTCAGGCCTAGTTTTCAACAGTGGATTATCTAATATAATACTAAAAGCACAAACAGCAAAAGACAAAATAAACGAGACCTCATAAAAATTAAAAACTCTTTTTGATCAAAAGACTTTATAAAAAAAGTGAAAAGGTAAACTACCAACGGGGAGAATATCTTTATAAACTATATATCTGACAAGAATCTAATAACCAAAATATACATAAAATTTCAACAACTTAACCATAAAAAGACAATCTAGTCATAAAATGGACAAAGGACTTGAATGAATAGGCATTTCACCAAAGAAGACATTCAAATGACCACCAGAACACATGGAATGATACTTGGCATCATTAGCCATCAGAGAAACGCAAATCAAAACCACAGTGAGATACTATTTCACTCCTGCTAGGATGGCTAAATTTTAAAAAAATAATAAAGGTTGGCAAGGATGTGGGAAAATTGGAACATTTGTCTATTGCTGTTTGGATGCAAAATGGTACAGCCATTGTGGAAGACAGTGTGACAGTTCCTCACAAAAGTAAAAACAGAACTCCCGTATGACCCAGCAATTCACTCCTATGTATATACCCATAAAACTTGAAAGCAGAGACTTGTACACCAATGTTCATTGCAGCATTATTCATAGTAACAAAATGGTGGTAACAGCCTAAATGCCTGTCATCCAATGAAGGGATAAACAAAATGTAGTACATGCATACAATGGAATGCTACTCAGCTGCAGGAGAAATTAAGTTTTGATATATGTTACAGTATGGGTGGAGTTAGAAGATGTTGTGCTGAGCAAATTAAGCCAGTCACAAAAGGACAAATACTGTACCACCTCACTTATATAAAAAAATCAGAAAAAGTGCATGTATAGAGACCAGAGTTTATTATTGGTTACCAGGGCAGGAGGAAGGGTATAAAGGGGGTTTACAATGATGGAAAGACTTCATTGATGAAGGTTAGAGTTGCTGCATACCCAGTTATTTAATTGCTGTCAGTAAGTTGTATAAAAAGTTGAATTCACAAAAGTTGTGTGATAGATATATTTACAACAACAACCAATTAAAAAAAAAAAAAAAAAAGTAGCTGCTGAGGCTGCTTATGTACAACCAAACACCTCATGGGATTTGGTTCCTTAGTTTGGAGGTGTCGGGTCATGGTTTCATGGGACTTCCAGTTAATTGGTTTGATAATGTGTTTAGTGCTTCTGTTTTGCCTCCTAGTTTGTTGCATAGTACCCCAGGGTCCTGAAAGCTTGCAGGTGGTCATCTAAGACACAGCAGCAGTCAGCCTCTGTTCACCTGGAGCAACAGGGGAAGGAGGAGAGTCAGGAATAGGAGGAGGAAGTGGAATGTGTGGTTAATTGCCTCCATGAACAACTGCCCCCTTTGCCATGAGTGCAGAGCTGGATGGTGCCTGCCTCCCATGACTGACCATAAAGAATCCTGATCAGAAGAAGGGACATACAGATCAGAATTTCAAAGTCTCACGGACTCGACTTTCTGGAGCAGTGGAGGGTGGATGAATCCCTGAAGCTATTGCCCTGAGATCATCTTTAAACCTTAAACCAAAAACACACCCTGAAATCTCCTTAAAACTGAACAATAGCTTAGGTTAACTAGTGAAAAAGGTCTACCTTGAGCACTGTGCTCTTCGTAAGAATGATCTGTATGGGATCAAATTGACAGCAGCAACTCAAAAGATTAAATGGGGAACCTTAGAGGGCAGTGGGTTTATGTTAATGAGGGTGGAGCAGTGCAGAAAAGGAGGGTGGGAATGGTTGCACAACCCAGAGAATGCAGGCAATGTCACTAAACTGTACGCGTAGAAACTGTTCAGTTGGTGCACAGTCTCAAGAACAACATAAATAAAATACAGAGAAAAAAAGTCGTTACTGAATGTTTGTATGTAAACTCATAAGAAAACACAGTAATTTTTACTTTCTTCTTGCTCGTCTGGACGTTCTGATGATTCTCCAAGCACAGCCCCTCTCTTGGGTCACACACACTAAATACAGTTAGTCAGGGATCATGAAGAGTGGAGTTTAATTTTGAGGAGTGTCATGCACTGCAGAATCCTAGGGGGGCTGTACCTGTGGCCTAAAGGGGGAGTGCTGCCTGTTAGAATTGTGCAGTGCAAAATCAAGGGGTTTCCCTGTTTGTTAGAAAAGTTATTTTAAAATAATGAAAATACCTGAAAAGCAAAAAATAAAAGAGTACTGCCCGTTGTTGGTGTTTTCGTTCCTGGCTCTATCCCAATGAAAACTTTGGAAAGGAAAAGTTTTCCAAAAGGAAAAGGAAAAGGTGACATTTCTAGTGACTTAGGACTCTTCTTCCTGGTTGGAAATAGCGTAATGTAACAGTTGCTGTCAAGTCAACAGTGTGTGCTACAGAGTAGGAGTGTGCTTCCCAGGGTTTGGTGCTGTGATCTTTTGAAAGCTGGTCCCCCCAGGCCTTTTTCTGAGGGGCCTCGGAGTGGTTTGAGCCTCTAGCCTTGCAGTTAGCAGCCAGGTGTTAAACCATTTGCACCACCCAGGGAACCTTGCAAGAACATAGACTCATCAGACTTCACAAAATAAGTCTTTAAAGTAGCAACTTGAGATCCCTTTCATAATACATGCATTTATGGGGCTTTTAATTTTCCCTTTGTATTCCACAGAATCTAGTACTAAGACTAGGAGAATCCTAATTTCTCTAATGTACATCTTGACCAGAACATTATAAATTATGACCAAAAGAACCTTGATATTTTTTATCCTAGCTCTGTGGTAGTCTCTTATTGGTTCAATAGTAATGTCCTTAGGAGATAAATTTCTTTTTCTCTTTTAAAATTTAAAGTGCTTAGAAGGCCATTTTAGGGAAATTGGAATCACCTTAATGCTTGAATCTGTTTTTAGTTTCTCTTAAAGACTTGATCATTTTTTGATCTAGTGATCACTTTTTTCTTTTTTCAGGTTGCTCTGGAGGACTATTTGAAGAAAATTCAACGAGTGGATTTTGATATATTCCACCCAGCCTTACAGCAGAAGAATCCATTGCTTCCATTATCCTTGTATATTCAGTCATGGAGAAAAAGATATTAAAATAATTTCATGTCACTAGTTTAATTTATTAGTTTCACAAGTGTAGTAGTTAGGGTTCTTATTTATGTGCAGTAGGAACTGACTATGATTAAAGAGAAAATGAATTTATTGGTTGGGTGTTGGAGACTCAGAATTGACAAGAAGTTGCTATGGCACTGGGGTACCAAAATAACTGCCAAGATTCTGCCACAGACACTGCCATTGGCACCACCAGCCTAGGCACTGCCTGCTGTGCCATCCCCGTGAAGTCAGAGCACCAGGAGAAGCAGCATCTCAGCCATGCTTGCCATACCCCAGCCACCAGAGGACCTGAAGACGGAATGTCTTCCCCCTTCATTGCCATTGGAGCACTCAAATAACACAAAGATTTGCATGCTGAGCAAACCCTCAAGTGTCCAGTACAGCTGGAACAAATGCATTTAGTCGGGGATCATGAAGAGTGGAGTTAAATTTTGAGAAGTGTCCCTCATTGTGTTGAGGGCTTTATAGATCCCTAAAATTTATCCCTTAAACACCTTGTTTAAAGTAAGCCAGCTGGCTGCCAGGAGGTAGAACCTTAATTTGACTATAGGTCTACCTGATTTGAAAGCATTTACTCTTTATTAAACCCACTGCTCCCCTGTCATTCAACATTATTATGATCATATACAAAGAATAAATGAAGCAAATATAAAAAACATAATAAAATTGTATTCACCATACATTAAGGGGATACTGCATTTTTTAAAACTCATATACATTGGGCTTCTCAGTGATAAGCACTGGGCTGTATGCTTTCAAGATGGCTCTCATTTGATCTTGGGCTGAAATCCATTAAATGGGGAAGAGAATGTCTGTTTAATAAATGGTCCTGGCAAAACTGGATATATATTTGCAGAAAAATGAAACAAGATCTTGACCTCATACCATACACAAAAACTAATTCCAGATGGATCAAAGACTTAAATGTGAAACCTAAAACTATAAAGTTCCTCAAGGAAAAACTAGTGGCAAATTTAAGGGCCCTAATATATGGCATAAGTAGACTATCAAGCATAACCCAAAATGCACAAACACCAGAAGAGAAACTAGATGAATGTGACCTTCTAAAAATTAAATTTTTACATGCTTCCAAAGACTTCTCCAAAAGAGTCAAAAGAGAGCCTACAGATCGGGAAAAAATATTCAGCAGTGACATATCTGACATGGGACTTATCTCTAGAATTTATAGAAAACTCCACACCTGAACAACAAAAAGACAAATAATCCAATTAAAAAATGGGCAGAAGATGTGAATAGACACTTCACCAAAGACAATATTCAGGTGACCAGCAAACATGAAGAAATGCTCACGATCATTAGCCATTAGAGAGATGCAAATCAAAACAACAATGAGATACTACCTTGCCCCAGTGCTAGTAGCAAAGTTCAACAAGACAGAAAATAACAAATGCTGGCAAGGATGTGGAAAGATTGGGACTCTCAGACATTGCTAGTGGGATTATAAAATGATACAATCACTCTGGAAAGCAGTATGGCAATTTCTTTAAAAGTTGGAATTAGAAATACCATTTGATCCAGCAATCTCATTACTAGATGTGTATCCTAAAGAAGTGAGAGCCAGGACAAGAACAGATACATGCACACCCATGTTCATTGCAGCACTATTTATGATAGCCAAGAGATAGAAACAACCTAAGTGCCCATCAACAGAAGAATGGATAACCAAACTATGGTGGAATACTAGGCAACCCTAAAGAATAACGTAAAATCTGCAAAACACTGCATAACGTGGATGAACTTGGAGGAAATTATGCTAAGTGAAATAAGTCAATCACAGAAGGACAAATACCATATTAGTTCGTTGTTGTAAAAAGGAAAGATTTATATACGGAAGGAAATTTTCTTTGTTGGTTATCAGGGGTAGGGAGAGGGAATACTTAGATAGGTAGAGACGAGTATTGATTTGGGTGAAGAGAAGGGCAATGTACCAAATGTGAGTGATCAACATGGTAGCATTGAGGAAGAGGAAGACAGAGGTACATGGGAGGTACAGACAGCAAAGATAAACCCTTTTCCACATACAGTACTGCATTGTCAGTGAAGGCAAACATGGATATACAGGTGGATAAATGGGTGGACAGGCTAAACTATTAGGTATGTGTATGTATGTGTATGTGTATCCAAGACCATGTATAGGGTTGGGAGACAATGTTTCTACAAGTGTATTGCTATGTTCTATATGAATTCCCAGGTGTATAGTAGAGCTGACAAGGGACAAGGTTGTAGTCACTTCTTGGCCACAGCCAGCTACCCAGAGGGAATGAGTAGTTGGACCTGTTGGCTTGGGATCATAGTCGCAGGGGACATCAAGCTCAATTGGCATAACATACTACACAAAACATTGTTCCACATTCTATTTTTGGCAAGTAGTGACTGGGATCGTAAAAGCTTGCAAGTCATCTAGATGTACCTGGGTGTCTCCTCGTCTAGAGCAAAGAAGAATGAACACCAAAGATCCATGGAAACAGTTAGTCCAAGCAACTGGTACACCATGTGATCCTCAGCCTACATGACTATGAGACCAGACGAACTAGATGGTGCCTAGCCACCACTGTCAACCACTCGGAGGGGAATCTCTGGGAGATCCTAGATAGAGTGGGAGAACAATGCAGAACAAAACTCAAAGTCATTAAAAAAAAAGAGGGACCAGGTTTGCTGGTCTGATTGAGCCTGATGGAACCACTGAGGCTATGGCCCCTAGGTGCCCTTCAGGTCTGGAATTGAACCCACTCCTGTGGCTTCCAGCCAAACAAAAGACAGGCATATAAGGTGAACATTTACATTAGGAAGATCATGGGAGAATAGATGGGCTGTGTATGCGTAGGGAAACGGCTCAAGGAGCAGGAGTGGATGGAGGGAAGGACATAGTGAAGAAGTAACTATTGGGAGGAAGTGGGAGGGGAGCTGCTGCATTGTGGTAAATTGTAGTCAATGTCATGAGACAAAGTGTATGTGAGCTGCTGTGTGGAAAGTGAATTTGCTCTGTAAACTGTCACCCAAATCACACACACAGACATACACACACAGAGTGCTCTCATTTGATCTTAAAAAATCCTATTAAAGAACTTTTTGGTAATTAAAATTTTTTACTGTAAAATATACGCTCATTGCAGAAAGAAAATTGTTTAAACTGTGAATGATTGGAGAATCTGGCATCTGAATGAATTTCTGACTTCCAAAGATTATGCCACAGTTTCCTCTGTTCTGCCTTTTCAGTGGTCTTGTTTCTCATGCCACTGACACTTCTGGCGTACTTGTCCTCTGATGACTATTTCTATAAGTCTTTGGTATCAGAAACCAGGATCTCTGAGTCTTTGTGCCTACTTACATTTTGAGTTGTTGATGGCTTAAATACTGCATCTTTGTAAATAAAATTCCAAAAGAACTGCTTGAGGGCAAGGATATCCTGCTTTATTCGTCTTCGCAAACCCCAGCCAGCACCTAGAATGGCTTCCAATTTAGAGCAAGTAGAGTAATAAATGTATAAATGACAGAATGTGCAATTCAGGTTGTGTATGTATACTCTGCTGGTTGATACTGATGCTGGAAGATCTTAGTGTTTAATTCTGTGGCTTTCTAGATCCATTTAGCTTGTCCTGAAATGCAAGTACCAGGAAATGGGGCACCGAAAGATCCAGGGTTGAAGAGTTCGTTAGAGAGAGGTGTTTGTCAGTGAACGTTGTCTGCAGGGCTTCCAGGTTAACTCTGGAAGCAGCCAGCTCCTAAGCATCTTGGTTCCTGTGTAAGGGTCTTAAGAAGAAGGATTTAAAGATAGAACTGGATTACTGAATTCTTTACTGGCTCAGAAGCCAATTTACTATTCAGTAAATAATTTAAAAATACTTTCTAGGCCATTTCAAATTTGATGTTTAGAGATTTGAGTGAACTAAAGTTAGCAACCTCCTAGAGATTAAGATGGATCTGTTTAGACACATTTACTTCTGTATTAATTTTCTGGCATTTAAAGATACTCCTAAGAGATGCCAACTCCCCCTCCCCCCCAAGTCTTTGTTCTTTTATCAGGGTATTTTTAAGGAGTCAGATACATTTTCCAACCATTTAAGATGCATACTGAATTAGATGTGAGCAATGGAATGGATAACAAGTATAAATTACAGATTAATCTCACTGTAAGTAAAGTTACATATATATGATATATACAAGTATCATATATATGATATATACAAGTACCATCAGAAAATAAGTTTGAGGTAGTTCCCAATTGATTAATAGTATTCCTTCTCTCCTTTTGAGGTATTTAATAAAATCAAATTATTCTTGAGAAGTACAATAGTAGCTAACATTTATTGAACACTCACTCATCTTGACAGTGAAATAGTCTTTATTTTCCAAATGCTAAAACTGCCTCAGAGATGTCAAGGTAAAGATCATACAGCCTTTATTACCAGAGCTAAATGCCAAACCCTTATTAGTCCAATGCCAAAAGCCCATGTTTTTACTATTCTTGAGACTGTAAAGTAAACTGTCAAGTTTCAAAGCTCAAGGGCACAACTTTTTTCAGGTATTAGTATTACTGCATAAATTTCAACTACAAATTAGGTGAGAGAGAGTGAGAAGTAAATGGGCAACTGAAATGGCTATTAAGTGCTCGTTGCTGGGTGTATATAGGCGGGACATTAAAGAGCCTTGGTGGTCAAAGAAGGTTTCCCAGAGGAGGTGGTGTGTGAGTGGGGTCAGGAAGGTTGAATAGGAGCCAGGGCTTGGACAGGGGACATGAGTCTTGTTGGCTGACAGAGTAGTATGTGTTCAAAGACCAGGAAGCAGAATGATTGGCCTTTGTCAAGACTCTTAACTTGGAAGCTTTAATTTACTTAAGTGAAAAGAACAGAATGTAATATCCAGACTTCTTAGGAAGTTTGTGAATAAAAAACCCGACCACATTTCTGGTCTAGTGAAATGTTATGAATGAAAATCAAAGACTTAGAGTTTATTTGTGGTACATTTCAGCAAATCCTTAGGTGACCTTGCATTTGTTTTAGTTCATACAAATAGGGACTTCTCTGAAAACACTGGCCTAGTCACCCTATGAGTCAGGCCTGACTCCACGG